TTTCTAACATCTGTCCCCCACCATCCTCCTTTGTCAGCACTAAGGCAAGGAATTGATTTAATATTTCAAGCAATGTCTACATATCTTTTCAATAAATTATCTTTGCCATTTCTTTGAGGCCCTTCTGTCTCCTTCACTGACCTCTTTTTCCTTTCGTACTTGAATAAATTCCCATTATTTAGCATAACCTCCTGTGCAATCTTCTTTTTCATTCTCTACCTTGGCTTTTATCTTTTTTTTAATACTCTCTGAACTTCATTCAGTAATCTTGCCAGTCTTCCGCTGTACCTGGTGTTTAATACCTCACATATGCCTCTTTCTTACCCTTGACGATTACTTTTTTTTTTTTGTCTGTTCATCACAATGTGGATTTATTTATTGCCAGACTGCATATGCAATGACCCTTGGGCATATATTAATTTAAGTTCTGAATGTTTTCCATTTCCCATCTATGTTCTTCTCTCCATTGCTTTTCAGCAGCTTCCTCCCATATCTTTTTGGAACTCACTCCTCAACCCTTGGATTTACACAAAACTGATGTTATGCTTTTTGAAATAGAGGTTGTCAAGTGAACCATCCATGTGCCCAAAGATAGAGTTCAAGAAATGAGGTCCTACAGAATTGTGAAAAAGTCATTGGAGCTTGATTCTAGCTGCACAATGCTGTAAGCCACCTTTATGCCTTCCCAGCCACAGGGTGTGCCCAGGGTAAAAGCATTCCTTAAATTCAAGGGACTATTTTGCCAGCCCCGGATCACTAAAATGTAGTGTACTCCAGTCCTGCCTTTTCTCCATCCCAATACACTCCCTCCCTGACCTGGCGCCCATAAGGGGGAAATGGGAAGTGGCTAACACAGAGTTAGCTACAACAGAGGAATTCCCTGCTACACTATTTAGCACAGTACTAAGTCTCCTTTGTGCTTCTCGCATGGTGCAAAAGGTACTTAATCTGAGATAAGAATCTGGCATGTTGAGCTGAGTGAAGTACCTCACTGGGCTTCATTCCACACTTCAAGTTTAAGGGGCTGATCCCGAAAAGAGATGATGTCTGCCTTTAAAGGCCTATCTGTAGCCCCTATGTAGCACGGCTGGGACAGACCGAAGCCTCCCAGGGAAGGCACTTACACCACCTCCCCCTCATTTTTCCTGGTGCAGCCCATCTCCTCCTTGCAGCCCCCCCTCCTGGCCCAGTGGCCGGTGTGTGCCATACCTGCATGAGAACTGCTCCGATGGTGGATCTCCCCACACCTAACTGGTTGCCAACGGATTAGTAGCTATCTGGCGTGGAGAACTTCCAAAGGGCGATGGCTAGTGGAGGGGAATGGTGGTCCTCATGCGTGTGTCCTGTCACCACAGAGCCGCAGGGGCAAAGCCACTTGCAGAGCTCGGGGCGCCGCTCCTCCACGGCCCCCAGGTGGGCAGGGGCAGAGCCGGGGGGCTGGCCTGAAGCAGAAGGTACCAGGCAGCCTCCAACAATTGCTGCCAGGCTTGCAGCAAGATGTTCAACATGAGCACCAGAGTGCCCAGTGGCAGCTCTGGCTCCATGGTGCTGAGTACTGTGGTGTCCCAAATGAGAGCGACCAAAACAGGCGGAGAGGAAAACGCTTTGCTGTCCCTCACCGAGGTGGGGAAGAAAGCGGGAAAGTTGAGAACCAGCTGTCCAGGGGGGTCCCTTTAAGCACAAGCCTCAGATAGCCTCAGACAGCAGCCACACAAAGCAACTACTGACTTGATGCACTGCTGGAACCGGTTTCAGCTGCCCTTAAATGCGATCCAGAGTCTAATCAGTGTGAACGCGCTATTTCAAAATAGCAAAATGCTATTTTGAATTAGTTTTTGTGTCTAGATGCGTTATTTCGAATTAGCTTATTTCTAATTAACTAATTCGAAATAAGTTAATTCGAAATAGTGCTGTAGTGTAGACATACCCTAAGAGAATACAGGCAGTCCCTGACTTACGCGGATCCGACTTACGTCGGATCCGCACTTACGAACGGGGCCGGCTGGGGAGAGGGTCCAACAGCTGGGGGCAGGGAGCTCAGCTGGCCACGCTGCGGACTCTTGCCATGGCCGGAATGAGGCCAGCCTGGAGAAAGACCCTGCTGGCCAGGGTGTGTGGAGCCCTGCTGCAGTTGGAGTGAAGCCAGCTGGAGAGAACACCAGCCTGGCTGCAGAACTCCACCAGCTGGAGCTTAACAGCGGCCCGAAGAGGAGTCTGGCTGGGGGCAGAGAGGGGCTGGTGGTCCATAAAGGAGCCCCACCAATGGTCTCTAGGTAGCAGAGCCCAGTGTGTGTGCAGGGAGCAGCACAATAGCTGGGGCAAGGAGCAGGAGGAGAGCACCTGGAGAAGTGGAGGTCTGATCTCCTCTGGTCCAGCAAATTCCCTGATTTTGGACTGCTCAGGTCCTGAGTGTGACGGACCAGGGAGGTCCAACCTTACTGTATAGCAAACTGAACAGTACTATACATCAAAACACTTGTCCTCTCACCTAGTAACATTATAATGTAGACAGTACCTTAACCATGTTCTCTATTTGTAGGAACATTGGAATTGCCCTACTGGACTGAAACAATGGTCCACCTAATTCAGATTCTTCTCTCTTGCTGTCAAATACTTCAGACAAAGACACAAGCAACTTTGTGTAGGCAGGTGCAATAGACATGAAGTGTTTTCTCCATGAGCATCCATATCGTCTCCAAAATTCTTAGGTTTTTAAAAAATTCTTCTAATTATAACTATATATTTTTTATTAGCCATACAAGTGTTCAAACCACTTCTAAATTGTGCAAAACTACCGACTTCTAGCACAGATGTGTATACAGGCAGTCCCCGGGTTATGTACAAGATAGGGACTGTAGGTTTGTTCTTAAGTTGAATCTGTATGTAAGTCAGAACTGGTGGTCAGTTTCAGCAGCGGCTGAATCTGGACGCCAGTTCCGACTTACATACAGATTCAACTTAAGAACAAACCTACAGTCCCTATCTTGTACATAACCCGGGGACTGCCTGTACTACATTTTCATAGTTAAGCACACATAAACCAGGGAACATCAATTGAGTTGCATGAAAAAATTCTAACTCTTGCAAATATGCATTAGAATTAAGACCTGGAGCCTGAAAAAATTTATACACATGCTGTTTCTTTATGACTTCAGAGGGACTATTTAGTGTATCAAGTTAAGAACATGCATAAATCTTTGCAGGATTGGGACCATAATTTCCAACAACAGGATCACGTCATATCTCAACAAATACAATACAATATAGCATCAAAATGTGCAATTTTTTCCTTCTCTTTTTTCCCCTCTATACCGGGATATTCCATACAAAAGTCTAGTGTTTAAATTATTCAAGTGGAGAAATCAAATACTCAGAATTCAAATAAATTGCAAAATTTTGAACTTAGACCTTTAATCATGCCCCTTGTACGTATATCTTAAATTATGGTTTATAATTATCCATTATTTGTCAAATAATATAATATTGTAAAACAATGACATTTTATACAACCTTTCATTCAGAACACACAGTGTACATTCTGTATCGCACTCCCACCTAATACAGATTTTACATGTAGGCTGATATAGTTTGAAAGCCAGCTACCTTTTTCTCTGGCAGCCCCCACAAATATTATAATGCCACAGTTATTATTAGTTATTACTGTTATTTGTATTACAATAGTGCTTAGGAACCCCAGCCAAGGATCAGAAGCCCATTGAGTGAGGCACTGTAGCAGGCGTGTAGCTAAGAAGACTGTCCCTGCATGAGAAAGCTCACAATTTACACAATAGATATGACACAACGGATGGGTGTGACAGACAAATTGCTAGAGATGGGATGGGATGATGAGGTAACAATAAAATAAACCATTTAGCAGAAAAGCACAAAGTCACACTTGACTAGACAATGTATTTACAAATCATTGCTGAGTATGATGGCATAGCATCATGGGATATAACAAAAATGCAATAAAGACCCATATAGTACATGACATAGGTTAATCATGTTTGGCTGCAGGGTGGAGATGAAAACCCTGCCCACTATCCTATCTGCACACCTCTGAGAATAGAATCAGCAGGATAAGATGGAAATTGTGAAGTCCATGTGGCATGCAGAAATTCACCACTTTTTTCCCAAGCTATTCCTTTCATTCTAACAAAGTTGAGAACTGAGCCCTAAGGGCACAAACAAAGAAAAAATTGCTTCATAGCATTTTCCCCTAGCAATTGCTTTGGGGTATATGTAAGATGAGATCAAGTCAGTTCTATGTTACAAGCATTTCTAATTCACTATGTGGGTACTTCTGCATGCTTGAACTTCACAATTTCTTTATTGCTTTTCAAACAAAATCAATGCAAACCATAGAAGGCATTGTCACTGAATCTTGTGTGCTGTCACTTTAATTTTTACATTTTAATCTATTTGATGATATGGGAAACTTTCATTTTCCACTGAAAGAAAAGGCTTTAGGATTTGATTGTATATGGAAGGCTGCATCCATGTTGAGAATTTGAGGGAATTCTCCCACTGCTAGGGTAGCACAACTTTTTCTACCAACCAAGGGAGCACTAATTTAAACCAGTTACCAGTATTGTTACTGTAGAATTAGATGACACTGTGGTACAGATGCCAACAGCTACATTGGCACTACTACCATGACTGACATCCACTGGGCTAGGACTTGGAGAATGCACTACATTTGTCCATGTGGATTTAGACCCCAGTGTGTTGAATGGAGTAAATCATTGGGATGAGCCACTGATGTAAGGTGCTAAGCAACAGTCACTCTTTCGGAGCCTGACTCTATAGCGCAATGTTGACTTTTGCACTCAAGAATGCAAAGAACTTTGATACAATTAAATAACCATATTCATAAAACAAACTACAGAAAATCTTAAAACCACAGGCCAGCCTGTCATGTCCCTTTCTCAGGGAGAATTTGACATAACAGTGAAACCACAATGAAGAAAACATCAGAAAGGTAGAGAAATGATCCTTACCTTCCAGCTTCTAGAGCTGAGCTCAGAGCCCATTCTTTCCCCAGTGATTGTTGCCTCCTGTTGCTGGAGGAGGTGCTTTGAGTTCCTTCCTGGAGCACCTCCATCAGCCTTCACTGATGTTAAGCTCTTGTTTGCCAGGGTCAATGTGGTGGCTCTGGGACTTGTCACTGTGACATTCCTTTTAAGATGGTTCCTAAGGAATGTGGTTCACATGAGGAGAGAAATTTTAGCACACCATATTGCATGGCCTTGGGAGGTGGTACAGGCATCTGATGTCACTCCTCCAGCCTATGAGTAGGGACTCAAACTCAACTATATGAAACGATGCTGAGAATAAAGCTATGCCATGCAGTTCCAACTCTCAAGCTCTTTCAAACATATGGAGCTTAAACCACCCCACCAGTTCTAGCTCTAGGAGCATTAGTAAGGTTAGCAAAGCCTTTTTGTTTCTTTCCTTTGCAACCAAAGCTTTCTGCTAGCATTACCTATCTAAGGCATTGTCCTAACCGTGCAGTCTATAGAGTTCCGGTGCAATATACTTCACAAAAAGAAACTCTGCTACATAAACAAGCTACTGAGACATAAATAAGGTAAACATTTAGTGTCTTTCAAGTGTAGCCTTATGTACGTAGACTGCCCTGCAATCACTCTGTCTGGATGCAACAAAGAAATGGATTACAGTGGTGTGTCTGCATGGAGCAAGAAGCCTTGCAACTTCATAGACAGACGCTGATGGAAAACAGACTGCCTGGCTCTTGCTGCTACAAGAGAATTCAGAAGCAGTCCAGTTCACAGAAAAACTCCCAGCCCTTCTGCCTCATTACAAATAGGCAGAATGGCCTTTCAGATATTAGTCCTGTCACCTCTTGTAAGTGCTATGGAACAATGCTCTCTCTAAGCTGCAGGCAGCACAGCCTCATAGACTCCCACGTGCATGGAGCTGACTGACTGGGTGGGGCTGATTAATCACCTCTGAACCTGTGCTGCTGAACAGTTTAGAGGGAACACTGCTATGGAGCTCTCTATAAACTATGGAACAAATTAGAAGGGCAGGTCCCCAATTTTGCATGAGGTCTTGAAAATCACCAAGAAAGGTATTATGTAATTTATGGACAGCCCTACCTCAGATCTACTAACATCACCTCTGTCTTGAACATCAGACAATTGTCTCTCATCCAAGTCTAGGTACAGTAGTTTTATGACCTCTGTTATAATAATGTCTCAGGAACTCACATTCTTGTTATGCATTTATGCTCGCAACACCCTGTGAGACAGGGAAGTGCTATTACTGTCATTTTACGGAAGGGGGCCTGAGGAACAGAATGGCTAAATGGCTGCCCAGGGTCACAGAGGAAGTCTGTGGGAGATTAGGGATTTGAACAATGTTCTCCCAAGACCTACATTAGTGCTCTAGCCATTGGAAATGTGTTTCCTGACAAGTCCTTTTTGTAGTGAGATGTTGGAGGGAACTAAAACAGATGTCACTAGGCAGGCGCACCAACAGCAGTCAATGGGGCCCCACACATGCACATGCCATGCCTGTGGGGACACGGTCTGCCTGTCACTTGGGTGATACCGTGCCTGCATTGGCTGGTGCCCAGTGAGCTCCCAGCTGCCCTCCTGGGTGCACTTTTCTGGCCTGGCCAGGAATTCCAAATGCTCTCCTAGCTGCCTTAGCCACTGCTGGTACCTCCCCCCCCCCTGCAATCTGCCTGTGTGACTGCTCCCTCTCCACATCCCCACATCAGTGGGCCTGTCACTGGGTAGCAATGAAGATTTATGTGCTTTGTGATGTACCATTTCTAGCAGGAAGAAACCAGTGCATTGAAAGTGGGATCCAGTTAATGGGACCTTTACAGTTTCCAGGGGGAAATGAGGTGGTTGAACTTTCACTGTTAGAAATGGAACCAATTCTGACACAGATTTCACTGTACACTGCTTCAGGAAAAGAGGGTGGAAAGTTGAGAATAAGATTTGAATTCTGAGAATCTGTCCAAGCCCTCTTCTTCCATATTTAGAGGATGACAGAACTCCTTTATGGGGAAAATGCTGTGAGAGTCTCCAGTGCAAAATCCTAAATACTAGAGGTTTTTAGGTCAACAGTTTAGGCCTATTTTAGGCATCTCCCTGCCTATGGTGCCACCTTTTCAGACCACATTCTAAGATGCACATCATGGATTGCCTAGGGAGCCTAGGCACCTCACTTGGGCTTTCAGGATCACAGGATTGAGTGTGTGATTTTCTAGGAGCCTAAATGTTAGGTGGCGTGACACCCAGCATCACAACACCTATTTCCTTTTGTGATTTGGGACCTATTATCCTTCTTCAGGGGCAGAGCTCACTATTTTAAAAATCAAGATTTTATCAGTAGATATTTCATTAGTCATCCTCTAGTTTTCCCTGCTAGAAAGGTATATGAGGGAAAGAATATATACACAACAAATGCCAGATTTTCAGTTTAGTTGAAAGGAACATTATTCAGTCTTAAATAATGAACTAAAAATAGTGCCACTTATCTCAAGTCCTACTGACAATATTTGTAGCTTTACAATCAGTTTCTTTCTTTTTTAATGTTTGTGTAATTTCTCTTGTTCTTTGAAAGTCCCAGGAAAAAAAACTGTAGGAACTTGTTTACTCATATATTCATAGATTTTTTTTTTTATGACCAGAACGAGCATATGATCATCTAATCTAACCTTCTACAGGTCAGAAAATGTCACAGAATGATTCCTCCATCAGGGCCATAGCTTCTGATTCATCCAAAGGATATCTTTTGGAAAGCAATCCATCACATACTTAGGAAACATTTTTCAATTTTTAATTACCCCTTCATTAAAATATCTTTGCTGGATTTGTTTTGCTTCTAATTGACTATAAAGGGAAAACAGTGAAAATGACTGCTTGCAAAGCACAGTCAAAAACACAAAGAAAAACAAACTGAATAAACAGAGTATATGTGTTAGAACCATGTTAATAAGATCCCTTTACTTTCTGAAATTAGAACTAGAAATGTAATAATATTTTAAAGCAAATACATACAATACTGAGTATTGCTTGGATTTAGTAAGAGAATTTAAGGATCAGTCACTTGCCAGACTACTAAAGTACATACATGTACATAAAGAAAAACTAATGTATTAAATATTAATTTCATTCCCAGTGAAAAACTAGAAGAGAATTCTTCTAAGGGTGTGTCTAAACTGCACCCTAAACTCAAAATAAGATACACAATTTGTGCTACACAAATTTCACAAATAAAGTGCTATTTCGAGCTATCCCTTATTTTTCAATGAGGTTTACCAGGATGGTGAAATAGCACACCTGTTATTTTGAAAAATATTTCAAAATAACGGGTGGCTTGTGTAGACACAGGGTAGCTATTTTGGGATACCTTCGGAATCCCAAAATAACCTTGCAGATGTACCGTAAGACTAATTTTTTAAGACTGAATGTGACTTCAGTCATTTAGCAAATGTTGGAGCTAAAAAAGTTTGAAAAGACAGAGAAATGTGGCAATGGAAAAGCAGTTCTCTCAAGAAAACAAACCTCAGGGACACTATATACATTTGTTACCATCCATTATTTACACTATCAATGACTGATTAATAATTAACTTATGCATTGTAGAAACAGTAGCTTTGAGAGGTTCATTTTCTGAACTTTTTGGTTTTATGAACTCCTCACTCCCCAATTTGTTCCTCAAATCAGGGTTCTACTGTAATAGCTTCTACAGTGTATCTGTGTCCAAAATCCTGCCTGGTTATTTCATTTATCCTGTTACAGAAATTGCAGTAAATGACAAGTCTATGGCCCCAATCTTGCAAAGAGTTCCATGTGAGCAGAACTTATTGCAGGGTTGTAGTCCTAAGCATTAAGGCTATACTACATCACATGGCAATGTGCCTAAATGTAAAAAGATGGAAAATATCTTTTAAAATGCTACCTGCATCTCTGTGCTCATAGGAAAAATTGCAGCATCTAAGCTGAGAAATGGATGGGATCGTATAATTAAAAACTGTAACAGAACACACAAGGAGGAAGTTTTAAGGCTACATGTTCCACCTTAACTTTCACATTTTCTGACCTTCTGAATGTAAACCGAAGTTCAACAAAGTATTTAAGTACATGCTTAAATGAAGCAAAGCATATGCTTAATTTAAGTGCTTTGCTGAAAAGTCATAGATTGCTGAATCAAGACCATAATGTAGTTCTGTACACATATATTCTTCTATTAAATGAAAGTCCCACAGCCTTGCAGTTCCCTATAAGCATTTAGAAAAGTCAGGGGTGGGAGGGAGAGGGATAGCAAAGGCTCAGAAAAGAGTCAGACAGACATATTACATCTGCAGTTAGAACATTTTAAAGGATCACTGTTATTAGAAATTCAAGTTTTTCAAGTATTAAAAATAAATCTTTAATTCCCCTACAGATTCCTAGTATCCAGAGTATTTTATACAAACATCTGGATAAAAGGAATAAAGGCAAATCCATTGTGTTTCTAGACATTCCTGGAGCATTGATGTTCTTGAGATTATGCTATTGGATTACTGGTATAAAAATAATAAATATTTTCAGTACTTAAAGCTGTAATGTTTTATGTTGGATTTGGATTTTGGTTTCATTTTAGTAAAAGGTGGATGTAGAGTCGAAGTCTCTCCCTTAGCCAGAAGGTTACATCTGACTTGGATCGAGTTTATTGCTTACTGACCTACATTTTTCTCCTTTACAGTATTTGAAAAGTTACTTAGAAACTTTATTATCATTATGTTAACATTTCAGAATATCTTGAAAGTGAAAAATATTAATATATGACTTTTCATTCCCCTGTTAAATGATGAGAAAAATATTCATTGATTTACTTTAACTTTATTAATATGCTAATCTTTAGAGGGCACACCAATTCATTATTGTCAGTTCAAATGGAGAGAACAGCAAGTTATACAAGACAGGCTTCATATGCAAGGGTAGGAGATGACTCCACCAATGGGAAATTGTTCAATGTGCTTTAACAAAGTTTTGAGATAATACAATGTGAACATTGCATTTAACTAACCAGGAGCCTAGCAATATAAATGGCTCAAAGTCATGTTTGTAAACAGCAAATGTAGACAGCTCTTGCCAGCCGTGCAAGGATTAAACAGTTATAAACTTCCAACCGTGCCCAGAATTTAGTTATGTTGTCAACATACAGTATGTTTAAGTAATACACTCTGCATGTCTCCATTTCTGCCTTTCCTGAACAGACGGACAAGGTGCTGCCTGAGGGAGCTGGATTTCAAAGCTCTATTTGTACAAGGTCTTCACCCTTGTTGCTTGCCATTTCTCTAGGGAGCTGTAGTATGTCACTGAAAGTACTAGTAACCAAAGACAGCAATGAAACAGCTATGCCTTATGGCTCCAGCCCAGTCCTTTCACTTTATACCCTCTGCTGTTCTCTCTCTCTCTCTCTCACTCTTTTTTTTTTTTTTTTTTTTAACATGCAAGTTGCCATGAAAAATTTGTTAATGAAATATTTGCTTAGAAGTCTGCTCTGGGCTAGGCTGATAACCTATCTGTGTTTGAGTTTGGCTTCCCATATTCTAAATACTCATCTTCTCTCTGTTTAGCTTATTGATTGGCTTGGCAGGAAAAGCAGCCTTGTCATCAGTGACCAAGGTCAAACTAAACAAAAAAGAGACAGGAGAAAAAAAAGGAGAAGTTGAACTGATGAGCTCGGTGAGGCAAGAGTGGAATATCTTACCTGCCAAAACTTTTCTTAAAGGGACAAACTCTGTTTCCCTAGGGTCTTGCACACTGTTTGTAAGGTCATAGGAAATTAGCGCCATAATATTTTGCATTTATAGAGCCACTTGCATCCAAAGGAGCTTACAAATTCTGTTTGTGCAGCTCTTCCAAAGTGAAAGAAGAAAACAGCTAATCACTGGGCCAAAACACTATCCCCATGAAAGCATCATGGGATATTTAATGGCCACACAGAGCAGACAAACTTTTGGCCAAACTTTTCAAGCCTGGATACCTAAAATTAAGCACCTAAATCCATGTCTATGAACCTAAACAAAAGGCACCTGTTTCGAAAGTGCTGAACACTTCTGGATTACACTGAAGTCAATGGAAGCTGTGATTTGTTAATAACTGATTACTTTCTTTTAAGTGCCCTAATTTAAGTACCCAACATTGAACATTTTGGCCTCAGTTTTGGAAATCCTTCCACAAACAGAAAGCCGTATGTACAGAACATTTATGCAGAGCTAAAGTGAGCTGCTCACTATAAGAAGCCTTTAAAGAGTAATGACAAGATCACCTTCATCATTATGCTAAGCTCTTCATTAAGTGTGTGGGCGTTATTATCTCTCTCTGTATTAAGACATGAAGTGCATAAATGCCTGGGTCTCTGGACATTGTGTCCTCTCTACCTAGGGTTTAGCCAACTAAAACTTGTCTAGAATTTACAATAATTAATGTAGAAATTTTAAATAGACATTATTCTGCAGTGCTCCACTATTGATAAGTCCATCCCAGAAAGTACTGTCACTTACATGTCATTCAACGTGACCAGGCATCTGCTTCAAGAGGAGACTGTATCTGACAATGGATGCTAGGATGTGTCATGGCATAAACAGACTGAGGTTGGCTCCTTCACGACTGTGGCTCACTGCAAAGAAAACGGACATTTCTAACTCATTTAGACAGCATAACGCAACATCTCCTGTAGTCCTGAAAGGAGCCTGTAACTGAACACACCAGCTAAGTAAGTGGCACTATCCTTCAAACTTATCAATCACAATAATGTTCAGGTGAAGAGTTTTACAAGTTATTGGGAGCTAGAGACTAATGATTATATAAAATGAACTGCAAAATTCTGAGATCTTTGTTCAATATATGCTCAGGTCATACTAAGTGAGAGTTTAGCTTTATTAATGACTGGGGGCATAAGCCAGGACTAGATTATTTGGTCTTATCTGCTTGTAAATTTCTAGAAAAAAAACCCTCATAAATATTTTTTATATTTTCTTTCATCTTTCTGAACTAATTCAGTTATCAATGTATTGTTCACAGTGTATTGGACACATTCGTATTCCGTAGTTCTATAATATTCTATTATAGTTGTTGACACATTCGACTTCAGTGACCTAGCTGAATTGATCAAATATACATTTAATTTCCTATCTGCAGGCATGGATAGACTAACAAATTGAATCAAAAGGATTCCCATCAAAACGTAAGGGCTACAGGGACTGGAGAAGGAAGCAACAGTATGTCAGTGAAATAACTACTCTGTTCTCCGCACTACTGCATATAAACAGTAAGGGCCACAGTTTTAAAGAAGCCCCCAAAACTGATCTTGTATATTTCTCCTTTTTGCATGTGTGTACTGAGTAACCATATACCTGACTATTACCTGTTTGACATAAGCAAAAGAACATGTTTCATAGAAATGTGGGCATATATTTTCAGAAATTAAAACTAATGATTTTGGGGCATAAGGTTGCCAGATGGTTTAACCAAAAATACTGAACTTCCTCTCCCCCCAAAAAAACCACCAGGGAAAACAGGGAAAAAATGTTGTTGAGGAAAAAAAAGGGGTGGGGAGACCAAAGTTGTTGAGCAGGAAAAAAAAGGACTCCAAGAGTTGTTAAGCAAAAAAATTAACAAATTTAAAAAATAATAAAACAGCATGGCCCCTTTCAGAAATACTTTTGAGGTTTTTTTGGCCCTAACAGGCTGCTGGCGGCCATCCACCATCTTGTCTCCCTGCTCCGGGCCAGACAGCTCCCCTGCAGAACCAGGTAAGCACCTGGTATTTTCGCCTCCTGGCCAGGAAAAAAAAAATCAGAAAATACCTGACATTTTAGGAGGCAAAAATACCAGACTGTCTGGGTGAATATCGGACACTTGGCAACCCTATTTAGGCACCCACCGAGACACCTTGAAGAAGCCTGCTTTTGGGGATGTGATCAGCACTCAGTCTGGGAAAATCAGGTCCCTTGACAAAGTTAAGTCGAACCCTGAAAATATCTAGGAGCTTTTGATTTTTCAGGCTGTGAGGTTTGTGCACTCTATGACAATTGCATGTGGGAAAGGCCTGCCTGGAAAATTTAGACCTATATGATCCACTGAACAACTTCTCACTAAAGATTATCAGCAGAAGAAGGGAATGACAAGGAAAAACTGAGTACCAAGATCAGAAAAAGTGCATTATCTGAAAATAAACCAAGACTCTGGCGTCTGACATGGAGATTTAGCTACCCTTTGCCGAGTGTGTTTTAATTTGTATCATTCTAATCGGGTTAAGAAATACTGTAGCCAAAGTAATTAGCAGGGAGCTACCAATCAGATTCTTGACACAGAAAACAAGCAGGTTTCTCCTCCAAGTGTGTCCCTCCCTGAGGGATGGGAGGTAAAGAGCAGAAGAAGGGAATTAGAGGTGACCTTGCATTAATGAACAGGAACAAGCTGCTGGATCAATGGGCAAACCTGGCAACACTCAGAAAGGAAGCTTCAACTGTGCCATCGAAGTATCTCTGATATCCATGGGGGTTTTGCAATAGATGCTTATGCAAAAGAGGTAAACATGAAGGAGGTGAATATAATAAAAGAGCAAGTGAGAGAAAAGGGGCAGGGGTGCAAACCAAAAATAAATGAGGCGATTGCCCTTGGTTTTTTATTTATAGAGCCTCTGCATTCATGTTTCTGGATTAAGGATTTTGACCAAAGTTTATAGAATTTATTTTGGCCAAAAATGATTAATATGAATATTGGCCTAATGCCTGAGTAAAGGAATGGAGTTTCTCTCTCTAATCGGGTTGCAACAGATAAAAAGCTAAATAGAAATGAGTAATTTGCCGTGACTCAATTTTACATGGGCTGTATTTCAAGATGTAAAATTCCATGTACATTTCTGTCATTTCCTTCAGCTGTTCTACCTTTTGCACATCCTTGCTAGCCTATATGTCAACTTGGGTTGGAAAACTGGGAAACATTTTCTTCTGTAACTCTGATGTGCTTTTTAGGAGACTGTGTCTTTCTGGAACCTAAATCAATTCAAGTGTTCAGGAGGCCTCTACTGGTTTATAGTTTCAGAGAAAGTTTCCTTCAAAGCTTAGCTTTTGAAGTAATGGAAATATACATAATGTCGGAGAAAGAAAGGAGACTCACCACTTGTTGCTTCCTGTTGTTTAGAATCAGTAGCAATTCTTATTAGCCGAGTTCTATATCTAGGAATCGGGCCCTCTGGATCTGATGTACAATCATGACTAGAACTCGTTGGTGCTCCACATGTTTCTAAGCACAGACAGAAAAAAAAATTACAACATGATGAGCTCTATATTTGAAATAGCCATCAAAGGAGAACCTATGCCAGCTTCATTTTGATCCCTAATGAGGATGCCTAATATCGGTGACATTGGAATTCCAGTGTACTACGCAAGTACATAATTCCCCATTTGCAATAACAGGGACTATTCACCTAACTCAGATACTGAACTGAACACATAGGGCTAGACCCTCCTCTGGTATAAAGCGATCATTATTTTGAGAGCTGAGGATGTGACCTGAAGTCTTTTACATATACAAATATTATGCATCTGTTTGGGATGGTATTTTAGCAGACAAGTTTATTAAAAAGAAAAAGAAGAAGAAGAAAACTAAAGGACATTTTCTGCTTCCCTCAGGAGTGCTAGCCTACACTGTCAATTCTTTCTTCATCGCACATGTATTTCCCTTGGCTTATTTTTGTATGTCATGGGATCGTCAAAGAAAGGTCCTTAATTCCTAGCACTTTGATTCCACTCCACAAACTAAGCCTTGTTGTAGGTGACTTAGTCTCCATGTGATCCACCTATTATTAGAACACTTTAGCCCTCCAACCCCCCAAACTCCTGCGTTCCTTTGTC